GCGCGGCATGTAGTCATGTTGTTACATCACATGCATCTCATGGTTATCATGTTTGCACCAGTCACATATCATTGTCACCAATTCACGTCACGTATTACGAAATTTGGTATATGAAAAGCTAGGGAAACGACCGCGAGCACATCATGAGCAGGACATGTAGTCATGTTCTTACAGGACACGCATGTCATGAATTCTCCGCTGTCACTTGCGTTCGCCATATGCAGCATGTAATATGAACGAAACCACCACAAAAGCAGCAAGATCATGAAATGTAAATCATGACATTTATGACCTGCATGTCATCATTTTCATGCTATGACTAGTCACTTATGCTTGTCATACAGTCATGTTATGCCATACCAATTTTGGTATCGATGCCATTATCGAAATGGCCAGGAGAGCGAAAAGTCGTATGTGGCTAGATAGATAGATCGATAGATACGCTCAAAGTCGGTGAAATTCACTAATAAATGCTTCGGATTCAATGAAACAAGCAATAAACATTTCCGGGTTTGAGTAAGGGTAGAGCCCAGGCCATTTACGTGACAAGAAGCTGTTGTACCACAGGGCCACGCGTCTGCTTAGAAACCGGACGAAAATTACCTTCTCTGCTTAGAAATGCAGTGAAAATAACGTTCATGACTCACAACTATACGCTCGCTGCATACGTGCTTCACAACATAACGTCTAATATTGTTGTAATACTATGTGGTAGAAGCGTACACTGCAATAGGGCGTCAGAACGTGTAATGATCATGGTGACTTTATGGTTCTAAACCGGGCACCTATTACAAAAGGCACACGTGCGCATTCCCTCAAAACGACGTAGAGGGTGCATAACAATGTCGAAAACCTTTCGTGTGCATAATTGTTTCTTATTCAAAGCAAGCATGCTACCCATTACACAGAATGCAGCGGTATGTGAAATTTTCGCTGACACAAGCCACATTGAACTTCCCGATGACGTTGTAGTAATACACAATTTAAAGTTATAACACACGATAAAAAGTACGTACAAAGTCGTTGAAGAGCGCACTTAGGACAGGATATTGCTAGCGCGTTCAGCTTTTAAAGTCGAACCTCAAATGTCGCCCTCAAACAGCGAGCAGCTGACTGCTCACTTGCAACGTGTGTTTGTTTTTTGTTTCTGTTTTGTTTATTTGCTTATCCTGAAAACTGTGGCACATACCTACTCGGGGGACTGATTAAAAGGGCATGCCATTAAATTAGTAGCGGTTTTTCTTTTGGCTTTTTTTGCTAAAGAATCCCTGTTGGTGAAAACTTCCGCAATCCTCCTCTATGGCGTGCCCCATGAACATAAACGTAATAACCCAGATGCTATCATGGCTGCTAATAACATCATTGCTTTTATATCTGTATTTACATTTCCACTTCTCATGCCACAATATGGCCTTGATTCAAGTAAGTTTGTGCCACCAAATTCCTTTCCTTTACTGATAAGGGGGAAGTTGCCACAAATCAAAATCATCACCACAATCAATCGTGTTGGAGCTGAAAAGTGAACGTAGTGTTCCGCCCGCTGTTTTCATGAGATGGACAGTGCTTCGGACATCTGTGGGTGAAAATAGGGGCAACAGAGTCATGTAAAAACACTAGTTAGTAATCCTAAATTAAGGAAAAGTCTGCTGAGATGTCCAAGAGTAAATTCAAAGGCCATGACGGTGCTACTAAGGAGGAAGCTGCCACTTCGTCAGAGTATCAGAAACCCGAGCCTAATGGTTTCTTCAGTGTGTCCGGCAATGAAGCTGTTGAACCGCCGTTCAGATCTTTTCTCCAGAACGTCAAGGTGCCGAACTGTGTTTGAGCGAATCCACCCGCAGCCGTGCCAAGCGAGAACAGCAAGGTCAAACTGATTAAGATGAAGCGCATTCCTGCATGACCCGCCACTGAACGTAAGGCGCACACTTTCTTTGGCCTTACATCCGATATTGGGAGGCCCATCACGTTTTCTCTTGGTCGGAACCCACCGATTACGAATAAGCAGGTGCGTGAGACAGGCCTTTTCTCGTCACCCCCGTAAATTTCATTGACATTTAGATTGAGCAGTGGCCACTCTAGCATTGAAAGTTTTGACGGCTTTGTCTTCGGTGCGAACCCACTGTTCGCAAACAGACAGGTGAACCAGGGTGAGGTGGTCCGGCCTTTTAGGCTACCAAACAGAAACGCTTTGTCATCGCTTTTAGACAGTGGTTACTTCAAGGTTTCACATTTAAGCAACAGTGCTAGCCAGAAGAACACTGTGGAAGTGATTCTGAGTTGAGCTTACACGCCTTTCAAAACAACCGTCGCCACTGATTCTGAAAACGCCGCCAATATTGAAAAAAAAAGAAGCCGAAGAGAAAGAAGAAGCAAAGGGCTGTATACGCCTGGCAAGCATGTAAAATATGTACCCTACTCCTGATGTGCCATAAGATTGGTGGACGCAAGCTGCTACTGCAGTGCCTAATGGGTCATCTTCAAATTGGTTTTGGTTCTGCTGAGCTAAGCGCGTCAAATTGATTCTTCTTGTACACTAGGCAATGTGTACCGAAGAAATCTCACGCCAGCCCTTATACTTGCTAAGTCAAGACCATAAAAGGTTACCGAACGGCGCAGTCATTTAGATCGCCGTAGCCCATGGCAATGTTTCCTCAGTAGACGCTGTATCATCTATTCGTATACTGCAATGCACTACTATGAATGTGCGCCATGAACACTAGTATTTTGTATGAGACATGGGACGAATGAGCGATAACGCACACGCGCTGCCCGCACGTCTGGAGGAGTGACATGAAGCTGCAATTTATTAACTGAATTAAACGCTTCGCACTCACCAATGACCCACAGTGCCACACCATTAAATCAGCACTTGTGAAATAAATCAATCGCATGAGGACCCTAATTTATTGGTCTCGTTTTATTTCTGTTGATGATTGATTGATTGATTGATATGTGGAGTTTAACGTCCCAAAACCACCATATGATTATGAGAGACGCCGTACGTAGTGGAGGGCTCCGGAAATTTCGACCACCTGGGGTTCTTTAACGCGCACCCAAATCTGAGCACACGGGCCTACAACATTTCCACCTCCATTGGAAATGGAGCCGCCACAGCCGGGATTCGAACCCGCGACCTGCATGTCAGCAGCCGAGTACCTTAGCCACTAGACCACCGCGGCGGGGCGTTTTATTTCTGTTATTATCGTGGTCCTTTTGAGTGAGTGGGTAAACAAATTGAACTTTATTCTAGTTTCAGGTGACTCTTCCAAATACATTTTTATTTCGATGTCGCGGGGGCGTATTCAGACTGTGCTATTTTAAAATCGCAAACAAGTACTTGGAGAAAACTCTATTCCTTCAGTAATAAAACGTGACAGTGTAATGCGTGCACGTAAGAGTGGCCGTTTTAAAGTGCCTCAGAGGAGCTACTTGGAGCAAGGTTACAAACTGCCCACTGAGCTGCAATTTATCACAGTGCCAACTAGCCAGGTACCCTCTACGCGTCGGCAGGGCAATACGTATCACCAACAGCTGACCATTTCGTGGGTGCTGTTGCGGATGACACTAATCAACTTCGCTTGAGTGCTGTGTAATGGGTGGGATCTTAAAAAATCCTCTCGTTGCGCCGTTCATATGATGTGAAGCCTGGTGTGATTCTACTGTTCTTCCCCAAAATATTGTGTGAGTGAACGTGATGCCTCGGATTATATAACACAAGTATAGCAAAAGCACTTTGATTTGGGCAAGTTGGTACATAGTCGGATAGGCTTTAGCGCGATTTAGACGAAGACCATTGGAGACATACAGCGCTCGTCGGTGTTCTGTGTGTATCCCATGGTTTTCGCCTAAATCTCGCTCAAGCCTATCCAACAATTATAGCAGCTTAATTATTTTTTATTGCCTTTTTTGGCGAAAGGGATTCAACTATACTGGTGTGGCTCGGTGAGATATTTATTTACCACGTGGAAAGCTTAATTTTTGTTTCATGATCAAACGTATGATTTTATATTAGGGACCCTACATCTCACTGCGATGTTTTACTCATTGACAACGACGGGAACACCGACACCGGAATTCCTCCGAAACAAACTCATTGACGCGATCGAGTTAAACTCTACAAGTTCTACATTTAACCCGGCGGGTACATAAAGAGAAGCACCCCAATAATCTCCTGGAAAGCTGTTACTATATATGGAGTGTCAGTGTGGATATCACATTCATGAAACTGCCATATCAATTTTTCCATAAAAACTTGCAGCAAGTAAGCTCAAGACATAAACCCAGTTCACTAGCTGCCGTTTAAACTCCGTCAGGGTAGTCCCTGTCGCCAGATGTAGGTAGTGGTTTGAGGGCAATGGGAAGGAGAATAACATTAAGAATTTCGACGGAAAAGATGCAAACAGCTTCACTATCCAAAATGTCACAGAACCGATTTATGAGAAAGACTGATTATTTTTACGTCAGCTGTCTCTTCCCGTCCGTGTGTTTATTTCGCTAATAAAAAGGCAGTAGAGCAAATTTATTCTTCATAGTTTGTTAATAATGCCAACTTTATTCTCTGCTGCAGTATTTATTCTATCCATACTTCGTGTCTGTTACTCAAACTTCCGCCTCCCATTGTAGTAGGGTTTCTTCATCTTTCCTGCCACTGAAGAGCACCGCAAGGTCGGAATTCCTGGGTCGCTGTGGTGAGCCTCATGAGCATGTCGTAGTTTTGTAAAATATTGTAATAACCAAGGTGTCAATATTACTAATATAATGGTTATTGTCTGTAGTTTCGTATTTAATTTTCCACTTCTCCCAACATCAGGCCCTCAAATAAATTAAATCTTGCTTCGCGAACTTCTACTTCTTCTCCTGAGTAAGTACATGTTATAGATTAGCATTATCACCATCATCATAATCAAACGTGTCGAGCGCAGAGACTGGGCGGGTCATGTCGTGCATCGCTTCGAGGAGGCTGCGAGCCCCTGGGGCCCACTTGGGCTAAAAGCGGGGAGATGGACGAGCGTGGTGACTCGAGTAAAACGGCAGGGTCAGAGAACAAGACCGATGACAAGACCAAGAAGCAGCTCAAGGCCGAGAGCGGTGTCGAAAAGGAGGCCGTCGCCACCGCTGGTCAACACAAGCCTAACCATAGTATTCCCTGGAGCGTGGTTGGCTACGCAGCTGTCGTCCCTGTGTTGATGGCTGCCTACCAAGGGGTCAAGACGCTGTACTCAGGCTCAGCGCATCCGCCTGCAGCCGCACCAAGTACGAGCAGCCAGGGGAATCATAGTAAAGCGGACCAGCCTCCCTTATCCCCTATAGTAGCGGGCTCGTCGTCTGGTGTCACCAATGTTCGCTCCCATATTGGGAGATTCGTCGACTTTGCCTTCGCTGCAAACTCACCAGTGACGAATAGCCTGGTGAACTTGCTGACTCATCCTACCACATCACTAATAGCAACGTCTTCGTCAGCTGGTTCCACCGATAACATTGTACATTCTGGAAGCCCTTGCGTTGCCTCTTCAGCTGCGAGCAGTCCAATCACGAACAACCAGGGGAACCAGTTTCAGGTGGAACAGCCTCCCACGTCACCCATGGTAGCAGGCTCTACTTCTGGTATCAATAATGCTGGGTCCCATATTGGGGGTTTTACCTTCAGTGCGAGCCCACCAGTCACGGATAGCCTGGTGAACACGCTAGCTCACCTTCCCATATCACCAATGGCAACGCCCTCCTCAGCTGGTTTCACCAATATTCCTGCCCATCCTGGAAGCCCCGGCATTGCCTCTTCAGCTGCGAGCCGTCCATTCAAGGCCAGCCAGGGGACCCAGACTGAGCTGGACCACCCTGCCACGTCACCTATGGCAGTGGGCTCTTCTAGTTTCGCCAATGATCACTCCCACATTGGGAGATTCGTCAGTTCTAGGTTTGCTGTGAACCCGCCTGTGACAAACAGCCTGGCAAACCCTTTGGCCCACCCTCTCCAATCAACCATGGCAACGCCCTCATCAGCTGGTTCCACCAATTTTTCCCATACTGGAAGTCCCGGCATCGCCTCCTCAGCAGCAAGCTGTCCGGCGACGAGCAGCCAGGGTAACCAGAGTGCGGGGAACGACAAGGCTCTCACGTCACCCGAGAAAAATGCTTCGTCATTGGATTCGGCCAACTTTCGTTCCCAGATTCGTGCGTTTTCGTATGCAGCCGTCCAGGAGGCCACCGAAAAGATGATGCCTCTTCACACTTTCGGGTCACTCAAGACTGTTGATTCCAATGAGCCACAAAAGGAGGACGATGATGAAAAGCCAAAAAAGAAAAAGAGAAAGAAGAAAAAGGAGGAGCCGGCTAAGCCTAGCAGTCATCTAAAAGGTGATGACAGCTAATGCGCCATGATACCCGTGAACGCATTTCAACAGCGCATAACGGGTCATTCCTCCAATTGGCTTCGCTTATCTTATGCTAACCGAGTCGAAATTGTCCTCTCTTCTCCAAGAAACGCTTTATAATTAGACTAGGCAAAAAACTCCAAGGAACCTACACCAGAGCCGATACTCGCTTAGCTGAATTTTATTGTTTTAAGAGCCCACGAAGGTAATTGAATTGCCATAAGCATTTTGATCGCCACAGCCTTACTGCTTTTGTCACCCATCTACGTTGTGCAATACCTCCCACTACGTTGCACTACCTGTGGTTGTGTCATGAGCAAACATACCCTGGCACAGACACAACTTCTGCCAAACTATATAATGAGAAATTTGGGACATGCACTGCCTGGAATACGGCTGCAGATTCATGAATTTGATCAACTGATCGACTCGAAGGTTTCGTAGTCATCAGTAACCTATGATGCATTGTCGTAAAAGCAGCAACTCTAGAATAAACCAGCGGCATACGACAGCCTCGATTCAAAGTAGTGCCTGGTCCTGACTTTTCCTGCTAAACCTGATACCTCTTTATTGTAGCTACTTTAAGTCAGTGGGTAAACCATACTAGCGTGAACGAACTGACATGTTTCTTTTAGAGAGCAGCTCAAATGCATTTTCACAATTGATAATTTTGGCCCACCTTTTTGCAATAAGTGATTGTTTTTGCGCGACACGTGCCTCAAGTATTTTCGCATCCATCAAAAATCTAGCCACCGTGGCCAGGATTCGATACCCTGTCGTGCGGGTCAGCAACCGAGTGCCTTATCCACTAGACCAACATGACGGGTGCAAACAAATAATTCTCTGGTGCTTCTAGAAAATCTTCATCAGCCTGACTACGTACACTGCCGGACAAAGGCCTCTCCTATGTTCCGCCAGTCAACTCGATTGTGTGCTTGCTGCTGCCAATTTATACCCGCAAACTTCTGAATCTCATCTGCTCACCTAACTTTCTGTTTCTCCCTAACCCGCTTGCCTTCTCTAGGAATCCAGTTACCCTTATTGACGAGCGTTTATCCTGTCTACGTGCTACATGCCTGGCCCATATCCATTTGCTGTTCTTGATTTCAACTATGATATCCTTAGCCCCGATTTGTTCCCTAATCTACTCTGCTCTTTTCTTGTCTGTTAAGGTTACACCTACCATTTTCGTTTCAATCATTCGCTGCGTTGTCCTCAATTTAGGCTGAACCTTCTTTGTAAGTCTCCAGGTTTCTGCTCCGTAGCTAAGTACCAGCAAGATACAGCTGTTATATACCTTCCTCTTGAGGGATAGTGGCAATCTACCTGTCATGGTTTGAGAGTGTATGCCAAATGTGCTACACCCCATTCTTATTCTTCTAGTTACTTCAATCTCGTGGTTCGGCTCCGCGGTTATTACCTGCTCAAGTCGACATAGTCTTTTACTACTTCAAGTGCACTATTACCTATCTCAAAGCGCCGTTCTCTTCTGAGGTTGTTGTACATTACTTTCGTTTTCTACAGATTGATTTTAAGACCTACTTTTTTATTCTCCTTGTCTAACTTCGTAAATATGAGTTGCAATTCGACCTCTGAGTTACTCAGCAATGCAATGTCATCGGTGAAGCGCAGGTTACTAAGGTACTCTTTATTTAACTCTTATGTCTAACTGCTCCCATTATAGGCATGTGAAAACCTCCTGTAAGCATGCGATAAAGAGCATTGGTGAGATTGTACCTCCCTGCCTTGCACCCTTCTTGATTGGTATTCTGTTGCTTTCTTTATGAAGCACTATGCTATAGCAGTTCTAGAATATAGGAACGATTAAAAGAAATACTTTTCTTTTCGTTGTTTTGGTTGACCTAAGCCAGGGCGTACAAGTGGGTTTAATTTCGGAACATCTTGAGCTTCTGAGCTTATTTTGCACATATTGTTATACCCACATTGCGATTTGCCTAACGTCTGCGCCAAACTGGATCCCGGTTAGTTGTGTCCTTGTAGCAGCGACGCTGTTTACTACGACCGAGAACTGAGACTCTGATCAGCCCTGATCGCGATCGAATGTTCCCGTGTGACGCCGGTATATAATACGCCGTGGCCGCGATGAAGCCTCTACAATGGAAGGTATAGAGCGTTAAGCATCTTTTCCGATAAATTACGTTAAATATAGTTGCAATAGTGAACAATGCATTTGTGAGTACACTCGTAGAACATTGTTGCATAGCCCCCTGTATACAAAAAACAAAGGAGGCTAAGGGTCTCATAATTATTCTTTTAGCGTAACTGCTGTTGAAGTATTCACCTGCTTCAACAATATTTGATGCATCTGAGATATTCAGCGTGATATTGAGGTTACCAACAGTGCCCGAAATGGTTGCACTGGTCGTCATGAAAGGGTTGCCGGACGTCAAGAATGACCCGTAATACTGTCAACGACGAGGCTCTATATATCGTCTAAGGCATAGAAATGACCAAACAATGCCACTGTAGATGCAGAGGGCTTCTGTTTGTCTTGTACACCTCAGGGGAACAGTGATTATGGTGCCCAGCTGCTGACTCAAAGGACGCGGGTTCGACCTGGTCGTGGTGGTCGCATTTCGATGAATGTGAAGTGGTCGGTGCATGTCTGCTGTACGATGTCAGCGTTCTCTGAACAACCACAGATTGTGAAAATTTCTAGAGTACTCCATTACGGCGTTTCTCGTAGTGATATCGGGAGGTTGGGATGTAAAACCCCTGAGATAATCATTTTTACGTCTTTCTGTTTAAAAATGTTCAAGGGGGAGGGGAAAGGGAGATTAGAGCCGATGTCTCGACAGCCAGACTTTTCATCTTCAAGGCGGCAGCTTGTTCAGATTTCCCGCATTGAAAACGACAAGTCCTCTCACCTAAATGTCAGCTTCAGCACGCACCTGCTGCTTGACGAATTTTCCAGCGCAAGCTTCTATCTTTCCCATCCTGCCGTTTTGTGTTCCACACAGGGCAGACAAGTCTTCATCTAGAAACGCTGGTTTTGACTACGTCCATCACTTGATCGCTTCAAGTATTAAACTTTTAATGTAGCTTTCCTGCTATTTTGTTTACAAGCAATGTTATCTAGGAACGTGCTTCCACCACTAACTTTTTTTTGCCCAAAGGCTGCTGAAATCTTGGTTAGGCAAAAACAAGGTCGCCGAAGAAGATGCTGCAACGCAGAAAAAAAGGCAAAGAGAAGAAGAGGGATTGAAAAGCGGGGATAATAAAACATGGTTCTGAAGTGAAATGTTCTAAACACGCAGCCGTGGTTCTTAAAAATATGGATATTCGAACATGCCACGAGGAGGATGCCAGCAACCGAAAATATCGAGAGAAAACCGCAAAGAGGGAAGTGGTGCTCGTTTTGAGAGTTGAACAGACTTGAAACGTTTTTCCCAAACAAAGACATTGGGACAATCAGCCTTTGGTTCCGTGTACTGCCACTACCATTTCTGTTTTTTTTTTGCTTCACCGTTATTTTTTTGTCGCTTCCGTGTCGTTAAACAATTAACTCTGGAAATTCTCAAACTGTTTCCCCCGTGTACTCAGCCTCGTTGACCGACAAAGTGCGCACTGCACTTAAACACGAATGTTTTCAATGTTTTGCTCAAATGTAAACTTTAGAGCCATACTCTTGCCACTTCCAAGCACAGAGGCAAAACGCCACTCTTGTACGTCGCTTCAAAGTACGCGAAGCGTGACTGTGTAAGGGACGAGACAGAAATAAATGGCAAAAAAAAGCAAGCGGGGCGGATGGAATGGCAAACTCACATATAGTTGGCCTTCCTCTACTCTCACACTGTGCCCGGGCCAGAAAACAAAACTTTCAGTCATGAAATGAAAATGTCAGAAACACAGAAGTGACATACACGTTCCGGTTCACGTGCTCCGAGAGCGCCGCCGTCTTGCAGTCGCGCTAAAGACAAAAGTGCACCAGCTACAAAAAGGAAAACATGTTATACGGGCATTCATATAAAGTGAGAGACCAGTGTCGTAGGGAGAAAAAGCTTGAGTCAGAAAGGGCCTGACAGAGCGAAACGTTGCTGGGTGGACCATACAAGGCGAAAAGCGGAGAGCTGGAGGAAAAAGTATTTCCTAGAAAACAAACGGTCATGACGAACACGAATTAGACGTGGCGTTTGCCCAAGAGCGCGTGCCTCTCTATCACGACTCCTTAAGCGTCGGCGGGTGAAACGGCTAACCAACAGACGGGTCTCCGCAGCTTGAGAAACAAACGAAAGCAGCCAGCCGAGTTAAGGACGCCGAAAAAAGACGAACGGAGGTGGCGGGGAAAAAGGGGTGCGCCTAGAAATTCCTACTTCCTCTTCAATTCTGTGTAAGAACCTCTCTTCCGTTTATTGGCCTAAGCTTGTCTTACACCCATTCATTCCTTTTATTCCTTCCAATACAACGACATCGCTTCCATTCCGCTGTGTGAGTGTTCTCGCTGGTGCCATTTTGTCGAAGTAGAGATGGTGTGTTTTGACACTAGCATCCGAGAAAAGCTGCGTGCATCGATTGCTGTTCACCTTCCTCTTGTTCCCTCCTTCTTTTACCAAGTGTCGTGAAGTTTCACGTTCTGCTTCACGCACACCCCGGCATTTAAAGAGACGGGGAACAATTTAACAAAAAGGTGCAAGAAAAGCACTCGAAAACTTGTGTTGACTAAACCGATTCCTGCGCCACGCTTTTCTGCTTGTTGTCCGGCACAATTAACATTGCTGGCATCACCATTAACTGCAGTAACGTGGGGAGAAATCACGATTCAAGTTTGTTCGCGTGAAGCACCCTTCTTACGTTTCTGCTTTTTTTTTCGGGGAAAGGGAGTGTTCCAGCAGCGTCATATTCAGCAAGAAGCTTGGTGACCTGGGAGTAGTAATCGTAAACTTCTACGTTGTTCATGATTCTGGCTCGGCCTATGTTGCCCAACAGGTCGGAGCATACATTTCTCTCCCCAACCTCTTCTTTAATCTCAGCCTTCT